AGAAGAACTTGGAGTGGTTGATCGAAACGTCCTGGAAAAATGAAGACTACTGTCCTAGTAGATAATGTCGTTATATCTTATTAGACCACAGGAAAGAAAAACATATAAAGAATCTAACCAAAACGTCCTTGAAAAATGTAAACTACTGTCCTAGTAGATAATGTCGTTATTTCTTATTAGACCACAGGATGAGAAGAACTTGGTGTGGTTGATCGAAACGTGCCTGTAAAATGAAGAATGATATTAAGGTATATTGAAGTTTGTTTCTCATTAGACCACAGGAAAGAAAAACATATAAAGAATCTAACCAAAACGTCCTTGAAAAATGAAGCATTAGAGCGCTTAAAACAGTAAATCCATCCATCAAGGTATAGTTATATCTCATTAGACCACAGGAAGAGAAGAACTTGGAGTGGTTGATCGAAACGTCCTTGAAAAATGAAGCATTAGAGCGCTTAAAACAGTAAATCCATCCATCAAGGTATAGAAGAAAATCAAAGTGTGCGAAAACCTCCAGGTTAATCTGATGTGTATCGACACTATTTAATAACCATGCCAGATGCTACTCGAGAAGTTACAAAATCCAAACATGTTACAAAATACATTGGAATGCCCTATTTTCGTTTGAAACATTGCCAAATATTGCTTTCTCCGCCTTTACAACCATCATATTCAAGAAAGCAAGCTAAATTTACTTAAGTTCTCAAACCTGTTTGTATACTGATGAAGGGAGGTGGTACAGAAAATACGATTACTTTAATAGTGCACACTTCGAAATAAATACTTCTCTTCATCTACCCAGTTCTGTGTAATTATAGGTTATTTCATCTTTCACAGTGAATTTCTACAGAAGATTGGTCAATCATGAGGTATTTCAAATAGCTTGGATGAAAAAAACACTAAAGTAAATACAAGACAAACAAGTCGGAAACAGATACAAACTATGAACAAGCTTCAGGACAAACAAGTCGGAAACAGATACAAGCTTTAGGACAAACAAGTCGGAAACAGATACAAGCAATGAACAAGCTTCAGGACAAACAAGTCGGAAACAGATACAAACTATGAACAAGCTTCAGGACAAACAAGTCGGAAACAGATACAAACTATGAACAAGCTTCAGGACAAAGAAGTTGGAAACAGATACAAACTATGAACAAGCTTCAGGACAAACAAATCGGAAACAGATACAAACTATGAACAAGCTTCAGGACAAACAAGTCGGAAACAGATACAAACTATGAACAAGCTTCAGGACAAACATGTCGGAAACAGATACAAACTATGAACAAGCTTCAGGACAAACATGTCGGAAACAGATACAAGCTATGAACAAGCTGTTATAGATATCTAGAAACGTTGTCTGTTTTATAGATCTAGTAACGTTGTCTGTTATAGATATCTAGAAATATTGTCTGTTATAGATATCTAGAAACGTTGTCTGTTTTATAGATATCTAGAAACGTTGTCTGTTTTATAGATCTAGTAACGTTGTCTGTTATAGATATCTAGAAATATTGTCTGTTATAGATATCTAGAAACGTTGTCTGTTTTATAGATCTGGAAATGTTATCTACCATGGTTATATAAGTCTGTTGTGGAGACGAAGAATTGTTATCTACACGGAACAGATTATGTGCTTATATCTCTAGGAACAGATTTCCTGTTTGTACCTCTAGAAACAGATTCTATGTCTTTGAAGCTAATGTCTCCAGTCCAACTTTTTGGCAAAGAAGTTCGTTAAGTAGTGAGCTTGAGGTAAAATTCTGTATTTAAACATAGTAACAACCAACGAAGAAATCACACTACGTTTGTATTGCTGTTCATTTTACATAGAAAGTTTAGGTATTAACCGTGGGGATTAGTGCTCTTAAACTTTATTTGCATATTGCATTAGAAAGGCGAGTCGTAATGTTCGTTGTTCATTTAGGAATTTTTCCTTAGCGCATGTTCATGGTTTAGAAAGTGAAATATTACGTTGCCTTTCGTCCTTTCTAGAGCAGTAAATCACAAGGCCCAATACTTGAGCATTAATATCTAGTTAGAAACCTGTTAAAATGTGCGGTCGCTTTGCAGTTCACAAAGATCAAAGCTCTCCGTGCTTGGGGCAATTGGAATAAACCAAATTAATGTAGCTTTCATTTGGTACACATAAGTTAAGCTTAATTTATGACTGAAAAAACTGAGAGCTTTTCAACTTTCTTGACACAAAGGATTAAACTTAATATATATAAGGAACTCAAGTCACGCTTAAGTTTACAGCTTTCATTTAAAATATTTGTTGGCGTCGGTGTTGGACTAAATAAAATTACAAAAAGGTACATGCAACTTACAAAACTTAACACTAAATACTAATACTAAAAATACAAACTGATGTTTACAATCGTATTTTATTTTGTGTGTTAAAACGGTAAAGAATTTGGACACGAAAGTCCATCAACGTGACCTTGCAAAAGCGAATGAGAATTGGTTTCCTCCAATGCAATAGATAATGGTTGAGACGTTAGATGAAGAGAGCATTTTCTAAAGAGAAATCGGGTCGTGTCGTTCTTATACAACTAATTAATGGTTCATAATGTCAGAATAATGCAAACCGAACCTTATCCGAGATGAACACACACGTTTGTCTACTTAGTAAATAAATGCTTTTCTGTTCTTATCGATAATCATGGAGAGAATTGTGTTATCAGATTTTTTTGCCGTCAAAATAAAACTTTTCTTCATAACAGGGTAGAAACACGATGATTTAATGATTTAATATATATATGTCGCTAAGACTATAATGCATTCAGCTCAATTGTTTTCTACTTACGATCGACCACTTACAAACATGTACCTGGCATAAGGACGTCTACCAACTGACGACAACTTCCTGACATATTCCTGATGTAAGACGTCTACCGACTGACAACAACTTCCTGATATAAGACGTCTACCGACTGACAATAACTTCCTGATATAAGACGTCTACCGACTGACAATAACTTCCTGACATATTCCTGATGTAAGACGTCTACCGACTGACAACAACTTCCTGATATATTCCTGATATAAGACGTCTACCGACTGACAATAACTTCCTGATATATTCCTGATATAAGACGTCTACCGACTGACAACAACTTCCTGATATAAGACGTCTACCGACTGACAATAACTTCCTGACATACTGTTTTTTCTATATGACTACACCAAATGTGATGTAACTCAATGTATGGACAAAGCATAGATTGTCTTAAATATTTTGTTTAAATACGGAAAGTTGAGGGTGACAGTACACAGGGGAGTAGGCGAGATATATAAAACAGGGTGTTATGTTAGGAGGAAATAGGAAAAAGAGTGGAGAAGCCGTACTGAGGGTCCGGGGGCATCCCACTCGGAGAACGTTTATAATTTTTCTGTTAAAAAATGATCATTTTATTGGTATATATCCGAGGCTACTTGCCTTCCTCTTCAATGTTTTATAGCTAAACGGGTGAAGTCTAGGTCGTGCGAGCGCACCCATCTTGATGCAAGAAATACGTAGACCTATTTCGTAACGTACCTTTAAACTAATTAGTTTGTAACTATAACTTTATTACTTCGTAAATATTGTCAAATAATTAATCGTCTGAAGCATACTCGGAATGGCGGTCTAGTAGCCTAGGAATGAATAGAGTTGTTTTAACATCATGTACCAGCTGCCCAGTATCGGCTAACAATACGAAGAATTAAATTGTAGGACGAAATGACTACAA